GTCTTCATTTCAGTCATTGAGTGCAGAGCCGCCAGCGGCGGTCCCAGAAAACTCAGTGGCAGTTTGTGCTCCAACATGTTGTTGTTATTATTGTGATGCACACCCAGTGGGTGTACGCCGCCGCCCATACTGTTGTTATTATTATTGTGATGTGATGCTTGCAATGCAGACACGTATTTGGCGCGATGCGCCGAGAGGTTCTCGGGACTGTAGTCAGGCGGTGGCGGACTCGATTCGCTATTATTGCCCGCTTCATCGCCTCCACTACCGCTACGTTGACTCACGGGATACGATTTGGAGCTGTCCACACCGGGGCTGGAGTTGTTGTCGTAGCGGTTGCGCTGGTGTAGCGAATTCGCACAGTTGTCGGGAGACTCGGATTGCAGGCGGGATGATGAGGCGACGGAGGAGTGATCGGCGCCAGCGCCACCACCGCTACTCGCCGACAACAGAGGCGGCGGTGTGGAGGAATCTTCAGCTGAGCGCGTTGACTTTGTCCCGCTCGCCTCAAGCGAGTGCAGCTGTTTGGGCGGGGCCTTGAGAAGCATAAGCGAGCTGGAGAGATTATTGTTGTTCGCAGCGTATGCGGCAGCCGCTGCAGCGCTGTGATAATCGAGCAGGTGATCGCGACTCGCCGCCGCGGCAGCTAAATTCTGATAGTCATGGTGCGCGGCAGCAGCAGCGGCGGCCGCTTCGGCGAAACCGTTCGACAAGCCGGCGGCATTCGGGAGGTGGTGATGGAGCGCAGCTGCTGCAGCGGCAGCGGCGCCTGCTGGAGGACTACGATTCGCCATCGATGTGGCCATAGCCATGGCCGATGGCGAGCTGCTCTGGCTGGTGGCAAAGCTATGATGGCGCATATAGGGATTGATGAGATCCATATTGTCAGCAGCGGCGGCGGATGATGGGGCAAGCGTTGACGGTTGTTCACTAGGGGCCAAACTATTGTACGGTGGCAAGCAGTAGTCGGTGGAAGAGGTGCTTGTGCTCTCACTTGTGCCGGCAAAGCTGTTCAAGCGATGATAGAAAGCGGCAGCCGTAGAGGAGAAGCCGGCAGCACCAGCGACAATGGCGGTAGCGGCGCTTGCAGGCGTGTGGCGGAAAGCGGCTAAGTTGAAAGCGGAGTTCTCGGAGAGCTGGAAGTGTTTTTGCGGCAACAGTGAGTGCTGGTGGGGTGACAAGTCGTTATGGTTGTGATTATGGTTGTGGCTGTAAGCATGAAGTGTAGGCGGTAGCGGCTGCACGGCTGTGATGTGTGTAACGGCGGTGGCGGCCGCTGAGATCGGGCTGTCAGGGCCCGCAGGCGTTAGCGACAAGTAAGGACTACCCAGCGTGGCTGAGCGAGCAGATGGCTTTAGAATACGAATTTGAAATTGAATTTGTGTTTGTGTTTGTTTCAAAGATTGCACTACTTTTTGGATTGAAAGAGCGACTCCAGCAATAGGCAAAGATAACAAATAACTTTCCCGACGCACTTACGGAAACTCAGTTTTTTCGAAGTTATTTTAGTTTAAACGAGTTTCAAGGTTTCATCAATAAAGTAATACATACATTATTTTTTTCCACTGCACTCATTACCGCAGTGAAAACGGTAGTTTCAATAAATTTTTTTGATGAAATAATTTTGAATCAGACAAATTTTAATTTTTTTCATATTTTTTTATTTTATTTTTATGTTTCACTTTTTCTCTCGTTATTGTTTCTACACTTCTTATCACTTGCAATTTATTTAGTATTTAGTCGAAAACATATTCTTATATAAGTAAATTTTTGAAATCGTTAGTTAAATTTCTGTTCAAAACTTCACTGCAAATTTAACGCACAAACTCGCGTACAGTCATCGAATTTTGTTCCGTTCGGCCATCTTCGATAACCGAAGTCAACCGACGATGTGACAAATTGAACATTTTCCACAGATTTTTTAACCCGTTTTACTAAGATAATTTTCCAATTATTACTTTGAACGATTTTCTTTACACTTCCGTGCGCGTTACCATTTTTACCGTCCGAATGATTAGGCCTAAGACTACAGAATGATTTCAAAATTGACTACCGTCGTTGTGTCGACTGCTGGCGAGCTGGCTGACTGGATGGGCGCTGCTGTTTGTCCGTCGCTGTATCGGTGTTCGCAACAGCAGCAACAATAACAAAAAGGCCAACAAGCCAAGCACTGGATACGCAAGAAATTGAAATCCCAGCACAGCAGCAGCGGCAACAACACTCATACAAACACACACACACAACACAATGTCGCTGGCACTCGCACACTCACTCAATCAGTGCTGTCGCGTTTTGTTTCCTCAAATCCGCTTTGCCTACACACACCTCCGTTTCCGCTCTACTGATTTCAATTCTGCTGCATTAACTCACACTGGCTGCCAGTTGGTGTTGTTGTTGACTCAATGCCAATTTGACTGTGTGTGTGTGTGTGATGTTCAATTAAATATTGTATGGATGAGTGCGAGTGAGAGCGTAGCAATCAACCTGCTGTTGTTATTGTTATTGCTGAGTGCAGTTAATACAATTTTCTGCTCATATGCTAGTTGTTGTTGTTGTTGTTGCTCATGTTGAAGGGTTGTTCTACACACGTTTATTATATCCGTATACATATGTATATGTATGTAGTATGTATGTATGGCTTGCCTTGGGTGGAGGCTTCTTGCCACACTTTGCTTTTGAATGTAGTTCGAGTAAGTAAATCAGTGGAGAAATCAGTGTTTGAAAATCACTATAAACAGCAGTAGCAAAAACAACAATAACACCAGGGATTGTGTGAACCGAAGAGTTGGTTGGGTTGGAATTATATGGAATTGGCACAAAACGAATGGGAATTTTATTATGTACGTCATTAAAATGCACTATTTCGGATTGGAGGAGCAGGCGAGGCGGTTGGACTGTCAGCGTAGGCCAGCTTGGAATGTTGGTGAGGTAGCGGAGGAAAGTGAAGGGGTATTTCTTAATCAGGTTGTTAGTAAGGCACCGAACAGTGTGGCGAAAGTGAGTCGCGATGAAGAGAAAATTTTGAGCAAGAAGGTTCTTACCGAGCAATTCTAGCAGACAAAAGTCTTTCGTAAGACAATTGTCAATTCTGGCAACTATCTTTAAAGCTCTTTATACCATTTTCCCAAGACATCCTGAATTACTTTCTTCGCTCTCTTGTCTGTCTCTGTGTTTTGTTTTTGTTTTTCTTCGCTGCAAAATTGATGCAAAATGTAGGTTATTCCTAAAAATTTATAAGTTTCCGATTTGTTCGTAATTCGCATGGTAAATGGATGTGAATTACCTTGTTTGTAATTCGGTCTCAAAATTGTGTATGGCGAATTACGTAATTCGAAGGGTAATTGCAGTGCGAATTACGAATGAGAGAGCGAACTATGTATAACTGTCTTTCGAAAGACTAATTGAAAGATCTGCTAACGAGGAGGTCTTAGCGTTATCCTGTTCGCCTGTTAAATTAAAAAAAAAAAATTAAAAATATATTCTTCTTTTTAAAACAATAAAAACTAATAAATAAAAGAAAATTTAAAAAATTAATACAATAAAACAAAGCAAAAATAAATGGAAATATGTACATATGTATATTTAAATGTTAAAAAAAATATTTTTTTCTTTTTAAAACAATAAAATCTTAAAACTAAATAAGAGAAAGAAAAAAATTAATGAAAAAAATAGTAGAATAATGAAAATTAAAAGATAGTTATTAAAAACAGAAAAAAATTATTGGAGTTAAAATTATAATTAAATAAATTTTACAAAAAAAAAGCAAATTAAACTAAAAATGAAGAAATGAAAAAATAAGTTCCTAAAAAGAAGTAAATGAAAGTAAAAATATAAATTTTTCTTCTTTAAATAAAATCTAAAAATTAAAAGATACTTAAACATAATAAATCCAGAAAATTTAATTAAAAAACTTAAATAAGTTTCTAAAAATTAAAAAAGTCGTATATAAAAAATAACATCTAAGAATTAAAATAAAATGAAATAAAGAAAGAAAAAAAACCTAAAATAAGTTTATAAAAATTAAATACTTAGAATTAAAGAAGAAAAAATATAAATAAATAAAAAAATACTTGAGCTCAGATCAGGCTTGCTCACTCGGCCATTGCGACTGATACACACTGGCCGGAAATGGATTTTTTTTGGCATAAATTCAAGATTTTTATAGCAATATATTCGTGATATCTATCAGTTATTTTTGTAAAAGAACATACCTATGCCAACTAAGAAAATTTCGAAATAATAGATTTGAAGTTTCAACCCTGTGCTTTCAGTGCGCTTTCGACGTCATGAGCATGAATAGCTGTTATTTTGTCAGAATTGGTACAAAACTATTAGTCAGTTGTGATGAGCTTGTGAAAGGTTGTGTTAATATAAATAAACAAAATTAGATATCTAAAATACAGGTCAAGGTATTTCTAATAACAGTTTTTGCTCATTTTTCCAAAATTTAACATTTTAAGCGAAGTACACGTAGTAATCTATGTATTCTCCTTACATAGAATAAAGCAAATTCGGAATTTTTTTACTACGTTAATCTTGAAAAGTACTGGGAGGATTTGTGAACATTTTTTAATAGTTGTATTATCTTTAGGCCTGAGAATTTCTATAGGGTTGCCATCTGCCTAAAAAATTATAAGATCCGCACCGTTCGTTGGATTACAGAAAATGAGGTGTCAAATGAAGGTGCTTGGCATCTAGATGTCCAATAATGTATTATCTTTTTAGTAGGGCTGCCAACATTTTAAAAATCATAAAACCTTCACAGTTAGTAGGACTAAAAGTGAGATGCAAAGTGAAAGGATACGGTCCCCGGATGTGCAATAAGGTTTTATTTTTTTAGTGCGGTTGCCACCTTTCTAAAAATTACTACCTTACATATACATATGAATTTTTTTTTAATCACATCAGATTTGCACAGTTCATTCAATTAAAAAAAAAATAAGGTGTCAAGAGATTGGCCTATAGATGTGCAATACATTTTTATTTTTTCGTAAGGGTTTGAGGTGTTTGCAGGAGATTGGTATCAATCAAAATACGTTTGAAAGGCTTTATTCAGAACTATAATTAGTAGGGTTGCCATATGTTTAAACAAGCAAATTCAGCTTGAATTGTGGCGATTATGTAGTTGAAATGTGTATTACAATATGGAGGTTTAAGCAAGTTTTAAAAAAGTGTTGAAAAAGGTTATCGTTCAAAAGCAACGTTATATGTGGGGAGAGGGTAAGGCGGGGCGTAGGGGTTATTTGATCGGCCCAAAAGTTTTACCATAACTTGCTAATAGCATGAAGAACATATGTACCAGTTTGAAAATGATATCTTTCTTTTTACAATTTATTCCAAAAAAATTTAAATTCCAGCCAGTGTGTGAGGGAGCGACTCGAACTAAATGATATACAAGTTCTTTCTCTCAAAATTGCTTTTCACCACGAATGGTGAATGAGAGAGATTTTATTCTAAAACTTTTGTGCTAGAATAACAAAAGTCTTTCGAACTATCTTGGCATCTGTCTATTTGTCTTGAAAGACGTCTTACTATCTTAGCCAGAATTGTCCTGTCAGAGCCTCTTTTCAAATATGAGACGAAAGATTATGAACCATCCGGTAGGAACTGAGAATTAACGATCATCATGAAACATATCCAAACATAGGACTAAATGGTATGGAGGCCAGCAATAGACAGGCAGTAAAAGTCAGGAAATAGAAAAGCATTAAACCGGCAGCCTGATCAAACCACATCCTTCCTTCTTTAGACTTTAGAAAATACTATCAGGTCAAGTTACCTTTTCAGAGAGATCTGGGAAGAAGCAGTGTAAACAAGAAGTACACCATTGCCATCTACCTCGATAGGTCCAAAATGGGCAATAACAGAAAATAGAGATTCTGAGTTGCCCACTCCGACTGATCAGAGCCAATGTCGAGCAGTATCTACTGCTATTGTAGGTCAAAAGGACAAATTTTTAGAAAAAAAATCTATTAAAGGCTTTCATTGCGTCCAATCCAGGTTATGGTTAGGCGAAGCTACCAGAATGAGATGCTTGAAACTCAGCCTTAGCGTAGGATGGACAGCTAAAGCATAAGAATTGCGATAGTCTTCCAGATGTGCTGCTACAGTGAGATTCGGTTGAGGTTTTTGGACAATAACCCCAAAAGTACCAATAGTTTTGACTTTGTGAGCATAAGGAGCACCCTTTAAGGCCCTTGACTTACTCTGCATGTAAAAGACTTTTTATCTTCGAACCTAATTTTCGAAAAATCTGGGCTCCTGAAAACTCCAGGCTCGGAGAAATATCTCCGACTCTCCCCTCACTCGCCGGGACAGCGTGATATTCATCTATCTGAGAGTCTAAAGGCTGCAACGGTATCTTCGGGATTTTAAGTGACTTTTTGTGAATTCTTCTGGATTTTCCGAATTTTTTTTTTTTACTTTTTTTGGGAGTTTTTTCAGAAGTTTTGTCACAAGTATTTCGCGATTTCGGAAAGAATCCCAATGTTATTTTTCTGGATCTTTCAGAATGTTTCCAGAATATCTTTTCGGAATTCTTCATGTTATTTTTACTATTTTTCGGGATTATTTCAGAATTTTTTCTGGG